AGGATGTCGAGGTCTCTCTTGATCAACGTCGGATAGACCAAGGTTGTAAAACATCACTCCAGGGCTATGTCTGTGGTCTTCTTTATCCATTGTAGGATCAAACGAGAACACGTTACAACCGTACGTCGCCATCTTTTCATCAAACGAAAAGTCATTACCAATCCTATAAGAAGCAGTAAATAATGCAGTAAAATTGGAAAGTAATGCGTGAGGAATTAACGGATTCTTTATCGTAAAATAAACAAATAAAGAAGCCGTAACTGTGTTTGGTTCCGTTGTAAAGCACTTAGGAAGCGGCTAGAGCGAGACTCAAGAATTAAGTGCACAGGGGAAACACGAAACGTGATCGCGAGTGTTTCTCCCTCCTTCTTTCGTGCTGTAGCCGCTCCTAATGGCTTTACAACAGAACAGAGCGCAGTCAAGGCTTTTTTATTTGTTAATTAGAAGCAATATAAGCGCCGCATTGTTGCTGCAGAGAGTGACGCTAATTCGGGGGTGGCGATAATTTGGCGGCGGCCGTCTTAGGAGCACTAGATGTCGTAGTTGATATAGCGTTTATTTTCTGACTTTGAATTCGCTTGGTTCCAGAACTAGGATGCAGCTGAACAAAATTGAGAGAGAAAAATGTGGAAATCAATAGGCCATTTTTGAGTTTGAAAAACTCTCACTTTCAAAAACGAGGCTAAATGCAAAAACCTTTCTTGTGAAAGCTTGAAAATTAAGAGTGATTTTCATATCAATCGCGCGCTTCTCACTTTGCCTCGCTTTAAAAAAGAGGCTCGGGACAACTCGAAACGGCCAAAAATCACTAACCCAAATGAGTACACAACACATGATCCGGGATTTAGCTGAACTTGCTCGTCAAAACAGACGTACCACATGCCATCGGGGCCAAAAGAACTGGCTGCCCGACTCGGCTTTTTTGTCAGTCCCCCTATGCGACGTAGATCGGAGCATACCATCCCCCGAGTTGAAATACTCTTTATAACTCTTTCTCTTTCTTGCCCAGTGGACAATTCCTCGCAAGGCCTGGTGTCTTGTGGCGTGACGTTTGTGTTGTAGATCGTGACAACCATGGTCACCACAATTATACTACCCACAATCCATAGAGGTCGTTGATTCATTCTGCAGTGGTAATTACAAACAGGCATCAAAAATGAACTCGTACAATGTTGTTGACCTTTGAGCATGAATAATTTATTTCATTTATCGCAAATTGCATTCGAAATCATATGAAAGCCCATATATATTAAAAGGGAGCTTTAGCATCGAAGACGGCAACGGCAGCGATAACGTCACTTTAAAAATGAATTCGCGTTTTCAAACTTTGTCGCTTTTATTCCAATTTGCTGAAAATGGCAAATGTAGGCGAATTTCCCTAGAGTTGATTTCTTGAGGAGCGCACTCAACTTAGCAGAGAGAAAAAGAAATGCGTCGTCTCATGCTTACGTCCTCCATAAAACTTGAATTAGGCTTTTTCACGTCGTAGTCGTGCAAGGACGGTAAATAACTGTACAAAAAGTGTGATGCACGTTGAAAGTTGTTGTTTTTGCGTAATAAATCTATTGCTTTTTTGACGTCTTCGCTGCCGTCGCCGTCGTCGTTGCTAAAGCTCCCTAATAGCGGCGCTCCACACGCGCCCGAAGCGCGCGTAAGCCGAGCCCTGATTATCTATCTATCTGGGAAATTTTGGTAGTCACGTGACCGTAAGTCTGTCCGTCCGTCCACTCCTCCGTCTGCACCACGGGGCAACCAATGTGAAGTCTCTCACACTTTCTAGCTACTGTCAGAGTCTGCAATCTTATATTGCACATCGGTGTTGTGGTCAATTGCCAGCTTTCAAAACAGGGTATCGCTGACTAATATCACAGGAAAGGTTATAGGCTCCTGCACAGGACTTTATCTTGGGCTCAGATGTCGACTCCTCGAGGTTACGGGCCTTTTATTAAGTTATCCGCTGATAATTTACTAGCTTTCAACTGATCGCAGGCTCAACTCCAAGCGGATTTTTTTGCAATGGTTTCAAGTTTATTGTTTGAAGTAATTACAAATTTATCAACGGGAGCTTCTTCTTTAGCCTTGGCTAAATCTAGCTATTATCATCCTACCATGGCATTTTAGCATTTGCCAAATCAAAGCCTCTAGGCGCGCTGGATGTGGTGATTGTTCGGGGCGGCGCTTATTCGATTGCGGGCTCTTATTTTGTTGCATCACAACTTAACACTGAGCGCCATTGCTATTTGTTCCTAAGGCGGCGTTTTGTAATTTTACTTGTTTAGAATTTGTATTTTATAGCCTTCAGTTTTCAAGGTTAAACTGGAACAGTATTCAGTTCTTGTCATTGAAATCTTGCAGTAGAGGATTATTTTCTCATGACTAGCTATTTTATGTGGTCGGAGATTTTAGGTAGCTTGTTGCTTTTCTTGCTGACTCAGTACTGACTCAGCTAATGGCAAAAGGTAGCATTATACACTCTGTCTTGAATACCTCGACAAAAATTAAAGTGAATTCGATTTCTCAGCCAAAGACTTTGCAAAAAAGCGCATTGTTATAATTATTTTATAGAATTCCTATACTAGCTATTGTAAACCTGGTATCCTCATTCAGTTCATGACTGAGCTCCTAATCAGGTTCCTAAGATGGGTCTTCACTAAACTCAACTCAAAAAATTGCACCCTTCTTGCATGGTTTAGTTAATTTTTCACTTAACTGTAGAGGACTTGTTATTGTTGTTTTTGCCAGCTATCTATATTCATGTACGAAAATGGCTTTTATTGACCAAGATTAAAAACAGGATGTGCGTCATATATTGTTATTGTTATGTAAGTTCAATGAAACAGGAATATATCTCATATTGGCAAAACACCCCTCAACATTCTCAAAAACTTGAATTTTATAGATCTTTTAAAACCGATCATACCTCCTCTAGTTACTTAGACTTAACAAGAGGAACAGCTGGGAGAAGGGCTTTAGTGAAACTACGAATAAGCAATCACAAGCTAATGATAGAAATAGGGAGATACAATCAAACTACGAAGGATAATAGGCATTGCCCTTTTTGTGGATGCAATGTAATAGAAGACGAAGTTCACTTTCTTTTTTAATGTACTACATACTCTATGATTAGGAACAAACTTTACTATAAAGTCAAGACTCTGGTTCCAAATATTACCCAGTTATACCTATAAACATTTTGATCAATGAACTGATGAACTCTTCTAATTACTTTATCAATATACAATTCATAAAATATATTTCAGCTTGCTTTGATGTTCTTGACAAATTATTATCAAAGTAACGTAATTGCCCTGTGTTGTAATTTTAATCCTAAACATAGCTTTTGCAATACTGTATGTATTTGTATGGTCATGCAAATAAAGCTCGTTGTTGTTGTTGTTATTGTTGGTATACTTTATAGTTCGCAGCAATAGGATAGTTAGTACCATAACTATTGATTTGTTACATGATTTATAGCAATTTTCTGGTTAGCGATAACAGTTTTTTATGTCTTTACATTTTCGCTGTTTCGCAATATGCCCGATCGTCGGCAGGATGAAAAGACCTGGTCTTTTATTCCGATCATTTGATTGGCGAAGCAGGGACCCACCCTAATGTTTATAAAATAAAACTCTAAATCAGAGTAAAAGATAATTACCTTTGTCTCGAAATTGTCAAAAACAACATTAAGATTTGGTCATAGCTGTTTGTAAGAGATAAGGCTATTACCTGTTTTTGGTTGTTTTAAAATCAGACTGAAATGGCAACATTTTCAAGACTCGAAAAGATAAGCGAGGAACTATCAGAAAAAGAGGTTGAGAGCTTCTGCGATGGAGTTCATGAACTGAGCCTTTGTGACATCCAGATTGCGACTGAAGGATATTTTATGAGCGAAAACCAAAAGACAGAGGAAAAAGACCAGCCTCTAAGCAGTGATGGAAATCCCGACGATGTGAAACAAAACTGGAGCAATCCACAACAAGAACACCATTCTAGTACCGACGACAGCCTAATTCATTCTCACCCTTCACAGCGCCGAAGGAAGATCAGTGTCGTTGAAGCAAGTGATGCAGACTTTGCTGAACGGAGAAACATCAGAGTTTTTCATAAGAAATTTGGAGAAAGTATGCTGTCTGAAAATTCGAGGATTTTCAACAAAAAATTATAGAATTTTTTAACTGTATATATGATTTCGCTCTGATATTTGTTACAGTAACACTGTTTGCCGTAAAGAATAAATAACCTTGTATGAATTTAGAGAAAATCATTGTTTTAAGATCCAACAGTATTGGACCAAGAAGTGTTTTATAGCCATTTCATTATTTGTCCCTTGTGCCTGAATTAACAGTGTATCCAAAGCTGTTGAGATTTTTAAAATATCACAAAAATTCTGTAGCGAGCGGCGAAGACACGTGAGTCACGTGCACGAACTGAGGATGGAGGATTTTCATTGATTTTCAATGATGGCTGGTAACTGTCAACTGAGAAAACTAAGGCCTTTTTGACTATCCTACTGAAAAAACTATTTTCTGCTAGTCGATCATAGCAAAGGTCATGTCAGGGATCGTTTCCATGTCAAGCCTGAATTTTTTTCAGGTTGTTTTTTCGCATAAGTTGTTTATTTTTCTGCGAAGATCAGGTTTGAAAATTGCCGGCAATTTTTCTGTAGAATGTCCGAAATCAATTAATACGCGACTCGCCCATTCGAGTTTTTAGTCAAAAAAATGTGTTTTAAACAGTCAGCCGAGAAAAGTACGGCATTTCTCCTAGCCTCCTGAAAAAACTATTTTCCCAGTTGGTCTGGAGGAATTCTTCAATGATAGTGAAATAGCAGGTGTACAAAACACGCGTGCGTGACGCGCGAGATCAGTTGCGCGCGTGTCTACTCATTCTTTTTATTGCGCAAAAGGAAAAAAAAAAACAGAGAACCGGCTGGTATTCTAGCTAAAGCAGGATTCCGAATAATATACTGCACGCTGGATTTATCATAATTGTTACAATGGCTGTATTCTTTATTGCATCCCTGAAATGACTAAAATATATCTTCTCTCACATGAGAAAAAAACCCTAGTTGCACGTAACATCAGGTTGTAGACAAGACAAACAGAATACTGAAGGTGCTTTTAACTGGGGGTGGCTAATGTGCGAGCCTATGAGCGGAAGCCTCTTCTGACAAGCCGCAGGGGCGGATCCAGGATTTTTTTTAGGGGGGATGCACTCGTCTCTTGCTCTACTTCAACACCAATAAACCACATAGTTTTTTTTTTTTCGCAGAATACCAATTGTATTAGATAGAAAATCGCAGGTCATCTCAGGGGGGGGGTGCGCACCCCCTGCACCCTCCCCCTAGATCCGCCCCTGAGCCGGAGCCATTTTTTGCGATCCCTTAGAGTTTCCCACCGAAAACATCCAAATATGGACATAATGCCTTTTTATGGTCTTGATTAATCCGGTCTATATAATGTGTTCTGCAAAGTGCAAACATTACAGAATCAGGGAAAGAGGGTAGTGAGTTTTCTCTTATTTTTAACAGTTTATAGTTGTGTGCTTTTAAAAAGTAAATTACGCAATGCAAGCACTGAAGAACTGATATTTTGCACATTTTGCTATTGAATTATCAGATTTGGGAGGTTTTAATCATGGCGTCAGCGCTCTAGTTGTTCTGTGCCGACTGTCTAGCTAAGCTTTGACCGTATACAGATACTTGCGTCGCAGATAGAAAATTCTAGACTTGAATGCTTGTTTTGTTACATTTTGCCTCCTCAAATCCAACTTTCTGGAGGTTTTGAGCTAACGCTTCAAAACTTCACCCTTGCAGTCCTTCCTTTTAGACGAATTAAAAAGTTATGTTTTGCTCAAAAATTGCTCAGAAAGGCAAAACTTGCCGCTCGAGGTAGCAAAAAGTTGTTCCAAACGCCAAAAGTCGCTCAAGTTGCTGAGCACAATCAGGACAGGCCTTATTGCACATCCATGTTGTGGTCATTTGACAGCTTTCAAAAGAGGTGGTCCGCTGAAGGGGCCCAGATTTCGACCCATCCAGGTTACTGGTCTTTTCTAAAGTTTCTGCTGAAAATTTTCTAGCTTTTAACTAATCGCAGGTTCCAAGTTGATTTTTTTGCAATGGTTG